AAGTGTTCTTGCATTGAGGGAGTACTTGAGTGGAGGCCCAATGTCCATCTGCTACCTTAATACTAAACCCATAAATATATGCACATAGGTCTATTTCCCCATGAGATTTCTTTTGCATTACAATACTGGAGAATTCCAAGGGCTGGAAGTCCCAATATGGGCTTCTTTCAGCTGTTCCCGAACTAATTCACGTAACACCTGCACCATTTTTCTTCATGAAGGGACCACTGATCCACCCATCTTGGATCACTTGACTTCCAAGATGGTTTGATGTGAACAACAGTGGCCACCGCACTAAAAAGGTAAATATCGTAAACGCTAACTGTAATACCTCGATTGGAAAATAATCTGCTCGCTAATTTTATTCAGTCCTCCTCCTTAAGATACCAATTTCCTCATCACAGTAGAGTTTGAGGAGGCATATACAGCTGGGTCCCCCATTGTTTTAACAGACCTCTTCCCACAGATTTATGGGGGTGATTGTGACAAAAGGCTCAGCTAGGCTGGACTGCCTTAAAGTCTTGTATACGGTAGGGTTTTACCACTTGGTCCTAGTCTTTCCTACCTTCTGATACACCCAGGTTAAATTCAGGGGTAGTGAGTAGCCATGGCTCCCAACAGTGACATCACCTCCTGAATCTAAAAGCCCCGAAAACCTTTTCCCCTGAATTATTCATGTCGCATAGGGACTTCTTGCCTATGCACAACTTTCCAAAACACTCCCATGAACTATGGGCAAATCTGATTCCGGGGCCGCTCAAGTGGTGTTTATTTTAGCAAATGCAATGTAAGGGAGGAAAGGTAATTAGCCTATGTGATCCGCCTCCAGGCTAACTCCGGGGATTTCAGTTTTAATTACACTTTTAAGTTCCCCTTGGGGGGACAGTGACCCGTGTACCTGTTCATCTTTTTGCAGGACACAAATGAGGCTCTAGCAAGCCCTATCTGGGGCCGCTCCTAGCTCTGGGGCCTGCTGATGGACCCTGCGGCATTTTCAAAGAGAATTGTGGATCTTTCCCCAATTAAAACAACTTATTTTCTAAACATTTTGGTTCAATTTGCCACTGCTATAGCCAGAAGGTCAGCTTTACATGCCTAAGAACCAACTTCCCTGCAAAAATTAAGTCTACAATTATGCCCTGTTCCCTTGTAGGTATAGCTTTCAGCTGTGCAACGGTGGCTAGCACGGCCCATCACCTAACGTCCCAACGGATGTTCTGTGGCACGTGCAGCAGTTACAAAATCTGTCCACTTGAGGAGGGGGTGGAGTGTGGCCTGTCAGAATGCAACTTGATGACCTTATTTGGAGGCGGGGGACACACACTCCCTGGGAGACATTCCTGTTGAGACCAGTGCCCTAAGCTGGAGGAGCCACGTGGAGACTCATGCCAGCACTGAGATGCTTCCACTGCCACTGGATCCACAAGTCTTCCCACCCACCGGCCTGTCGTGATCTTCCTGGATTTGGCATGTTTGGCATGAATGAGTCTGAAGAGGAATTTATAGATTGGTGTCAGACACATGAGCTAACATTGGACTTATGGACTTGATCTGCACTGGGTTGGGATCTTTTCTTAAATGTCCGATGACTTTTTATAAAGCTCTTTCCTTTACACACGAGTGTCTATGAATTTATTTTTCTACGCTATCCAGACTGACACAGTCTGTGTTACGTGTTTTCTTAGACTGTATTTGGGGGGACTACAGAGGTGTGCCTCATCACTAGTGCTGGTGTGCCAAGTCCTATGGTCACAGGCCACACACACTTTCTTCCAGGTTCTGTTTGCCTGCAGAAAACTAAACTGCGAGCCAGTCAGGATGCAGTGTAGCAATGATGAAACGTACAATTTTCCTCTAGTTCTTAAATGCTTCCTCCCCA